AAACACAGGGCTTAAATACAGGAACTAAATGGGGAACACCTGGAATCAATTGGGGGCCGTGGCGGAGCAGACAGTTCAGAGGGAGCCATGGTGGAGCGGCCTCCGTGGCCTTGGCCTCGGCCCTTGGCCCGGCCTCTATGGCCAGAGCCCTATAGCCTCCCCCAAAAAAATTCCTTGGGGGACATTTCGGGTTCTGAGGCCCTCCGTGGGCCAGACATGGGAACAGCGGCCCTCTCTGGTCCGGACGTGGGGACTGGAGCCCTCTCTGGGCTTGGCTTGGGAACAGGAGGACTCTCTGGGCATAACTTGGGAGCAGGAGCCCTCTCTGGGCTTAATTTGGGAACAGAGTCCTTCTCTGCGCTTGACGTGGGAACTGGAGCCCTTTCTGGAGCGGACTCAGGGGCTGGAGCCCACAGTCTCTTCCTCCGCATTCTCCTCTTTTGAGCAGAGGTGAAGGAGACTGCTTCTGTCAGCTAAGGGCTTGGAAGTGAATCGGCCGGGAAATAGAAATAGAAATCTTTTGTACCATTTTAAATGACTTTACTGTCACTTTTGATCACTTTAATGTATCCTTGCTGAATAAAAGTATCAATTATACGGTCTCAAACTTCTGAACGGTAGTGTATGAATGTTCCAGTTCTTCTTGCTGTTTTCACTGTCATTATCACTGCTCGCTTCAGTGTGTGTTTCTGATTGGTCAATAGGCAGCAGTGGGTGTGGCCCAGAGAAACCCAGTGTCAGTGACATCATTAACCTCGAGATGTTGCAACTTGGATCCAAACTGAAATCAAGTAACACACAGGTAATAATTACATACATTCACATTTTCCATTTCTGGAAACTAGCAAGTGCAGACGGATTGTAAATAATTGGCCTGCATCCACATAATCATGAACCACACACTCCCACAGACAGCTTTAAATATTATGAAACCTTTAAAAAAAAAAAGAGAGATCACAAATGGAAAAGATTGCATACAAACACCATTACAGGGTATATTTGTATAAATGTGTATCCCCTCATATAGATCTGTCTACCAGTTTAATGTACGTAACAAAAGCAGATTGTTGGATTACGTAAAGAATAGAGTATTTTCATCTCTCTCTTTAGTCAGGCTGGTCCTGTTCTTCCTGTACATTCATAAATAAGTCTACGAGACCCGGCTGTGAAATCTGCAGCACAGATCGACCCAATCCTCCCAATCACAGCAGCGTTCAACAGGTGATTCACTCACACCTACACCTGTTCACTGTGATGAACACTCTGTGTGCTGATGATTATTCTGTTTCTGTTTCAGGAAAAAAGCAAGAAGATCGAACCAGTGAAACTCAGCATACCAAGATATTTTGGACAATGCTTTGCTCTAGCTTTATGGGATCAGTTTGAGGAAGGTTCTCTTCTATTCCAGCATGACTGTGCCTCAGTGCACAAAGCAAGGTCCAGAAAGACATGGCTGGATGAGTCTGGTGTGGATGAACACAACAGATCACAAATGCACAACTGGATGAATCAGCAAAAATGCTTGTTTGAGACATGACTCCAAATGGGATGTTAATTCTGTAGATGATTTTCATTCCTCTCCTGTGGTGAGAAGTTGAGCAGGGAATAATCATCCATTTGTCCCAAAATATCTTTGTTAATGTCTCAAGGAGCACGACCCACTCTTGTGACTTTGCTCCTATAAGCAAAATTTCCATATAGGACCAAAGATTCAGGTTTAATAACTAAACACGTGATAAGGACTGGTTTTGAACATTCAGCTAACTGTGAAGACCTTGAATTCAATTGGTCCATCAGACTAGGAAAGTCGACTAACCAAGTGAATTAGACAACATAGAAAATACTCACAATTCAAGATCCTAACACTGTTAAACAACAATGTCCTTCCTGAAAGAGATCAGCCCGTTGGTGAAGAACTATTTTCTCTCTGGAATTGATGTTTTATCGAGACGTGCGGCACAGATCACAGCTGAAATACAACAGGTGTGGTATTACTTTGATAATAGTCTCTCATCTTTTATAGCATTAATATAGTATTTTGGTGCAAATTCATCTAACTCTAGGCAGCATGGATAGATTGGTGGCATGCCCTTATTTGTGGAAAACCTGTTGCCTTTTCATTTCATTTACTTTAATTTTATATTCATTTATGTTGATTTTTTTTTTCTTGTATCATATTGGAATTAGATAACCAATTCAAAATCTGGATCCTGAAGTAAAACCAGCCGAGAATCACCGATTAACTGAACTGCCTCTTATTCTGAATCATATTTTTAAGCAGTAGTCTGATTTTATGGTTACACAGGACAACATTAATTCCTTTTGTGATTTTTATGTCAATTGATTTTAGGGTGAGAGAAGAAACTATAATGAGGTGCTTGATTTGTCTTCTGGAGATCTGCACAGAGGAGGAATAAAACCCATCACCTTTGTTCGTCAAGTGGGTAGAAACTTTAATTATATCAGTCAGAGAACAGAAATAATACATCGAGAAAAAAAAAATTAAAAACAATTTATTATTTTTTCATGTATGAGCTGGTTTAAGTCGATCAACAGTAACCCATTCAGTACGGCCCCAAATATACACTGGAAATGTTTTGACTCCAGCATCCAGAACACGAAGTCCATCATACAGGGGATGCAATGAATTTTACTGAGCATCATGATGAATGAACACAAACTCAGATGTAAGAAGTCCTTTGGGATCCAAGCGGTCATCGGGTCATGCTGAGAGTTAGGAACTGGTTTGAAAGCATTTATTCTGTCTAAGAGGCAGGCTGGTCAGAAGATAGAGCCCATGACCTTGTGCTCTCTGGAATGAAATCTCTCTGAGCATACACCAACTCTGCTGAGGACGTTTGAAGATCCTCCTCAGGAGCTGTTCGCAGGTCCAGCAGGACCCAAGGTAGCCGCTCCACTTTTCTGTCGTCTGTCAGACTGGCCCTAAGTATAGTTTTGAGAGAGCTATGAAAACATTCACAAAGGCCATTTGTCTGAAGTGGCACTCCAAAGATTCGAGCACCTCTGCCCACAACTCAGACAAAAATTGAGTGCTGTGATCAGAAGATATGCTTGATGGCATGGCAGAACGTGCTACCCATTACAATTGGTTACAAATTTGATATCGGATTATAGGGAAATTATTAAATATTGGGGAAAAAATAGGTAAAACTGATTATCGGTCGATCTTTAGTCAGTGCCATTGACGTCAACAACTACAAGTTTTTATGTATATTACATAGGCATGCATGATATTTAGCCGCTCCACTTTTCTGTCGTCTGTCAGACTGGCCCTAAGTATAGTTTTGAGAGAGCTCTGAAAACATTCACAAAGGCCATTTGTCTGAAGTGGCACTCCAAAGATTCGAGCACCTCTGCCCACAACTCAGACAAAAATTGAGTGCTGTGATCAGAAGATATGCTTGATGGCATGGCAGAACGTGCTACCCATTACAATTGGTTACAAATTTGATATCGGATTATAGGGAAATTATTAAATATTGGGGAAAAAATAGGTAAAACTGATTATCGGTCGATCTTTAGTCAGTGCCATTGACGTCAACAACTACAAGTTTTTATGTATATTACATAGGCATGCATGATATTATCGGAACATTATTGGAATCGGCCGATAAAGTCTTAAAATGTAAACATTTTTTGAAAAAAATGTTTTTTAAATATGCCGATATGCCTTGCCGATAAGACGGATAGCTCACATGTGCTCAGGCTGTGATAGTGATAAGATCATGAAAATAACGAGTCTGTTTTGATTTAAAGGTCAGAAGCTATAGCTTACATGAATAAAATTCACAAACATGACACTTGTAGATTAAATAATTTAATATATAAAGATTTACTGTGTAATATGTAATATATTTTTTCAAATGGAATATGAAAACTTAAATATAAGGAGCTCTAACAAAATTTTGAATTTAAAAATTTTAGACCATCTATTAATGTTGAGAAAAAATGCAGAAGATATTGATTTTATTACAGTTATTTTCAAGGCTTTCAATGTACTCTGATGGTACATGATGGACCTGATGGTGCAGGAGACCACCAAGATGGCTCAGGCTTGACAGATGTCCACCTCCAGGGAGCTGACGAGGCAGGAGACCACCAAGGTGAATCAGGCAGGACTGGAACAAAGAGCACAGAGAGGTTAGCAATGGCCTCAGTGGCCGTAACAGGACAACCAGACAGTTCAGAAACAGCATCTTTGGCCGTAACAGGGTGAGCAGAGAGTTCAGGGGCAGCCCTTTTGACCGTGACAGGACAGGCAGAGAGTTCAAAGACGACCTCCTTGGTCATGACAGGACAGACAGAGACTTCAAAAATGGCCTCCTTGATCATGACAGGGCAAACAGAGAGTTCAGGTCCGGCCTTCTTGGCCATGACTGAACAGTCAGAGAGTCCAGAAACAACCTCCTTGGTAATTGCAGGGCAAACAGAGAGTTCAGGAACGGCCTCTTTGGCCAGGACAGGGCAAACCGAGAGTTCAAGAATGGCCTCCTTGGCCATGACAGGACAAACAGAGAGTTCGTAAATGGGTGCCCATGCCCTAAGAGGAGCTGAAGCGGACACCACCGCCACCTCTGAAGGATCTGCAGAGGAAGCTGCCACCTCGGTAAGAGCTGGAGCGGATGCCGCCAACTCGGGAGGTTCTGCAGCGGTACCGCCATCTCTGGAGTTTCTGCAGCGGACGCCGCCTACTCGCTTGTTTCTACAGCGGAAGCTCCCACCTCGGGAGAAGCTGGAGCGGACTCATGGACTTGAGTGGACTCTGGATCAGACACATAGACTGGAGCGGATTCCTCAGCTAGAGTTGGTTCTGGACCAGACTCATAGACTGGAGCGGGCTCTCAAGCGGACTCATAGACATGACGGGACGAGGCTCTGGAACGGCAGCCATGATGGATTGAGACTCTGGAATGACAGCCATTTTGTGGAAAGTCTCTGAGCTGGCAGCCATCTTGTGAAAAATCTCTGGGCTGGTAGCCATTCTGTGAACAGTCTCTGAGCTGGCAGCCATTTTGTGAACAGATTCTGAGCTGGCGGCCATCTTGGGAAGAGACTCTGCTTCTCCCACGGTGAAAGGGGAACCAATCAGCAAAAGTGCAAATTCCAAAAATTCATTTGTATGGACCACTTTGTATGAGCACAGATCTTAAAGGTTAATTTAGACCAGGGGTGGGCAAAATTGCACTTCCAGGCCACTTTCCTTCAGAGGTTAGCTCCAACCTTAATCAAACACACCTGAACCAGCTAATCATTGTCTTCAAGACTACTAGAAGGCTACAGGCAGGTGAGTCATATCAGGGTTGGATCAAATCTCTGCAGGAAAGTGGCCTGGAAGGGCCAAGTTTGCCCATCACTGATTTAGACCATGGCAAAAGAAGTGTATGAGTGCACAATCTGGGAAATCAGAGTGATGAGCAATGTCAAGAAAATCTTGGATGTGGTATATCAGGGTGGGATCAAATCTCTGCAGGAAAGTGGCCTGGAAGGGCCAAGTTTGCCCATCACTGATTTAGACCATGGCAAAAGAAGTGTATGAGTGCACAATCTGGGAAATCAGAGTGATGAGCAATGTCAAGAAAATCTTGGATGTGGTCCTTGAGGGACCGATTACTTGAGTTTTACAGGCAAATCTGAGTACTGGGTCCATGATTGGTCTGGGTCGTTAAATAAAGCTGCTGGATCCGGGTGTGGCTGAGTATTCTGTAATAAGGGGACGTGACATCGGAGGTGTGGAATCAAATGCAGGCTTTAATAGACAGACAGGCAGGGTCCAGTACCAGCAAACAGTAACAAACAAGGTAATCCAAAAGGGTAATCCAAAAACAGGTAAAGGTCAGGGCAGGCAGCAAACGATCATAAAACAGATAAACAGTCCAAGATCAAACACACAAAGGCATGGCAAGACAAGGAAAATGTTACAGGCTAACAATACTCTACGATGTGTCAGTGTGAGTGTGCAACCTTTATAGTCCTCATAATATGAAACAGGTAATAGCCGATAACGAGTTCCTAGGCAGAGGGAACCTGGGAAATGGAGTCCAGGGTGAGCAGTAATAGTAAGGAATGTAGTTCCCTCTAGCAGAGCTCATGGGCACTCCAGTTGGCGATCGTAACAATTGGTCAATCTCTAATTATTTTTATTTGTAGGTCCTTGCTGCCTGCTTTTATCCAGCCCTTTTGGAGGATGACAGTCTGCCATTAGATGTTAAACAAAGGGCCGAAAGTCTCCTTAGAGAATGCGATGGTGGAAGCATAGGTGAGTTTTTGTCCCTGCAGTAAATATACTGGCATACCTTGCTGTTTTCATACATTTAAGTACCTTAAACTGTAAAAAATGTTTTCATGTTATAAAAGCATCATCATTTCCATCTGAAAGATTAAAGTTGTGAGAGTTCAGCATAAAGTTATAAGAAAGGTAACATTTGCACCACAATGTAAGCTTTCAGTTTCAATGGGTTAATTTTTTTTACAATGTGGACAGGTCTGTTCAAATATTCATTAACGTATATGAATCGGTTGAGTTTAATGTTGAATCCTTTCATGTGTATGTGATACTCATGTGGTGACAATCTCTTCAGGCTCATATACAGAGTCGAGTGGAATCGCCAAAATCAAGCACTGCGTGTCTCAGTTCATTACCAGGAGAGATGGAGGAGTTCCTTCCTCACCCGACAACATCTTCATCAAGTCTGGGTCACAGACGGCTCTCATGGTTCAGTCAACAAAAATCATTTATCGTCATATGAATACTTTCCTTTAAAAATGTATAATTGGACATGGTATGTGGCCCTTTATTCCAGACTGACTTAATATTTTCTCTGTAGATTATGCTGAAGCTGCTAATTAGTGGCAAGGACTTGTGTCAGACTGGTGTGCTCATACCTGTACCCACATATGCTTCATTTACTCTTGCTCTGGAAGAACAGGGAGCTGCCATCATACCGTACCATCTGTGTGAGGAGCAGGGCTGGACGCTGCAGGTGGAGGAGCTTCGCAAGGCACTTCATACAGGCAGAAAGACCTGCAATCCAGTCGCACTTTATATCTGCAACCCAGGGAATCCAACAGGTACAGTAAGAAATTATCCTCATTATTGCAAGAAATCTGTGCAGTCTAACTAGGTTAAAGCCTGTTTACCTTCATTATCCTGTCTAAAATCATACATTATACTGTACATTCTTCTCTTACCATTGTTATTATTCCTTCATCTCTTAAGAGTGCCGTAATAATTGCAAGGATAAAGAAAACTAGTGCTGACCCTACTAACTTTTCTAATTTTTGACCAATTAGGGGAAGTCGTGGCCTAATGGTTAGAGAGTCGGACTCGTAACCCAAAGGTTGCGGGTTCGAGTCTCGTACCGGCAGGGATTGTAGGTGGGGGGAGTGAATGTACAGCGCTCTCTCCCACCTTCAATACCACGACTGAGGTGCCCTTGAGCAAGGCACCGAACCCCCAACTGCTCCCCGGGCGCCGCAGTGTAAATGGCTGCCCACTGCTCCGGGTGTGTGTTCACGGTGTGTGTGTGTGTTCACTGCTGTGTGTGTGCACTTTGGATGGGTTAAATGCAGAGCACTAATTCCAAGTATGGGTAACCATCACTTGGCCCCATGTCACGTCCCTTTTTTTTTTTTTTTTTTTCCTAACTTACCATTTCTTTCAAAAATACTGTAGAATACTGTTGAAGCTCAGGTCCATGCTCACCTTTTGAATAATAATCTATTTAAACAATGTCAGCCTGGTTTTTGTCCATTTCATAGTACAGAAGTCAAGTCAAGTCAAGTCTGCTTTATTGTCAGTTCTTCCACATGTACAGCACATACACACAGAGAATTGAAATTGCGTTACTCTCAGACCCTTGGTGCATACAGATAACACTAACAGTAGAACATAAATACAGATAGATACAGATTAAATATAAAATACAACTATACAAATATACAAATAAGGTCAAATGTAAAAAAATATATAAAGCAGCACAAGGCACATGGCAGATAGAGTGCAAACCAGTGAAGTAAACAGCAGTGCAGATATAATGATTGTAGTGCAAAAGAGCTTATTCAGACTGATTAAAGTGACAGTGTGTGTGTGTATTTGGGAGGGGGGAGTTAGAGAGTCCGTCAGAGGGTCAGAGTTCAGTGGTGCGTGGTGCGTGGGGCAAAAAAGGGGAGGGGGGGCAAGGTCGGGAGGGAGTTCAGCTTCCTGACAGCCTGATGGATGTGCAGAAGCTGCAATGGTTAAAGTTACTAATTATCTATTGATGTTGGCTGATTCTGGACTCTTAACTGTACTCATTCAAAATCCTCATAGAGAGATTAGCTTCTATTAGAATCTGTGGTACCCCTCTTACCTGGCTTAGATCAGTTTGTTAAATTATAAAAATTTAGGCCATGTACTTCATTTGTTACTACTGGTGTTCCTCAGGGCTCTGTATTGTGCCCTCTTTTATTTATTATTTACCTTCTACCACTTGGTTATATTATTAGGAAATTTGGGATTAATTTTCATTACTATGCAGTAATGAAAATGAATCCCAAATTTCCTAATAATATAACCAGTGTGTGCAGTTTTGCAGTGTGTGGATGACACCCAGCTCTGTCCTCTAAGCCTGATTCCATTCCATTCCATTTTTGTAATTTTCTTAAATTAAATGGTGATAAAACCGAGGTTAGTACTAAATTCAATTTGACAAAATCTGACAGTTTTTATTGACTATTGATAACTCTATAGTTTCTCCATCTTCTCAGGACAAGAGTCTGGGTGTCATCCTTATAGTAGCCTATCCTTTGAAGCACACATTAATAATATGACTTGGTCTGTATATAATTCCATCTAGAGAATATCAGTCATCTGTATGTCTTACAACTACTAGTACTGGCGTTCTTGTACATGCCTTCACATATTGCTTACTGTAATGCCTCTCCTCTTTGGTGTACCCAACTTTGCCCACTGTTTTGAAATGCATTTATCAAAATTAAATGCATTTAGTGTCCAATATTGAAAACAAGGAAAGTAGCTCCTTGAATTTATGAATGGATGAATAAATGTACTTCGAATATTAGGTCACATACAGAGTAGGAAATCCATAGAAGAAGTGATCCGCTTTGCTGCAGAAGAAAGGCTCTTTATACTGGCTGATGAGGTGAGTTTATCTCAGGTAACGTAAGAGCTATCTGTAAATAAAATACAAATCTTTCTAAATCTTCAGATCAGGGGTGTCCAGTCCTGCTCCTGGAGGGTCACCTTCCAGCAGAGTTTAGCTCTAGCTTTAACCCTCCCATTGCATTCAGGTCAGTTTTGACCCGGAAGCGGTACATACATTTTTCTAAAGAATCTATTGTTTTTAGTATGGGAAAAACTTAGCAAATTGATTAAGATTACCAAAATACTCCGAATTTATTTATTTTTTTATTTTTTTATTTCAATTTTTTAATTGGAAAAAAATGGGGCGGTTGTGGCCAAGTGGTTAGAGAGTTGGACTTGTAACCCAAAGGTCACGGTTTCGCGAGGGGAGTGAATGACCAGTGCTCTCTTCCACCTTCAGTACCCATGACTGAGGTGCCCTTGAACAAGGTTCTAAACCCCCAATTGCTCCCTGGGCAACACAGCAAAAATGACTTCCCACTGCTCCGAGTGTTTGTGTGTGCACTTGGATGGGTTAAATACAAAGCACAAATTCTGAGTATGGTTACCATATTCGTCCATCACATCACTCAATTTTCACTTTAAAATTTATTTTTAAAGATATATAACCATTAAAACTAAATTGTTACACCTTCTGCGTTCGGGTCAGTTTTGACCCGGAAGTAAACTGCTGCTTTACAGTTCACTGTTCTGAGGCTTTTTTTAGCCTCTTTCCTGCATCTCACGCGTACTTTTAAAACTGAATTTTGTTGTTAAATTTGAATATGCACACACACACACACACACACACACACACACACACACACACACACAACACCCATTGGGGTGTAGAGCAAAATAGTCTACATTTGAAAAAAAGGAAAGAGTTTGAAAGAAGAGAAGTCTACCTGCTGCCACCTATTGTTGGAGTATTGCAGATTCAGGCTGTTGATCATCTTATTCATATTTTGTTTGAATACATTCTTGGGAATATTTATATTGTTTTGAAATTGTTTTGTTAAAAAAAATGTAGGGTTCATAAATTTGGAGTGTTTTTGAGCAGCATGAGTTAAACAATTCCATAATATACTGATAATAATACTGGTAATTATACTGACATAATATACTGATAATAATAATAATAATAATTAATCACATCTGAACCAGCTAATCAAGGAGTCCAGGACCACTAGAAAATTCCAGACAATCTGTCCCTGGGGTTTATATGACCCCAATCAATTTTTACTTAGTTAAAAAAAAATGGTTCCCTTCATCTCAGTGGAATATGATTTTGTGACTTTTCTGCGTTTTCTATCTGTATTCACATAAAAAGAACTGGGCTTGATTCGGTTGTTCTGAAGGTATGTAAAAATCACACACACACACACACACACACACACACACACTAATACACACCACACACACACACACTAATACACACAATAATACACACACACATACACACTAACACACACACACACACACACACACACAACACCCATTGGGGTGTAGAGCAAAATAGTCTACATTTGAAAAAAAGGAAAGAGTTTGAAAGAAGAGAAGTCTACCTGCTGCCACCTATTGTTGGAGTATTGCAGATTCAGGCTGTTGATCATCTTATTCATATTTTGTTTGAATACATTCTTGGGAATATTTATATTGTTTTGAAATTGTTTTGTTAAAAAAAATGTAGGGTTCATAAATTTGGAGTGTTTTTGAGCAGCATGAGTTAAACAATTCCATAATATACTGATAATAATACTGGTAATTATACTGACATAATATACTGATAATAATAATAATAATTAATCACATCTGAACCAGCTAATCAAGGAGTCCAGGGCCACTAGAAAATTCCAGACAGGTGTGTTGAAGCTAAACTCAGAATAAAGTGGCCCTGAAGGAGCAGGATTGGAAACCTCTGCTCTAGAACCTTCCTTTGACATGTTTGATCATTTGTTTCTCTTCAGGTGTATCAAAGCTGTGTTTATGGAGATGATACTGAGTTTTATTCCTATAAGAAGGTGTTATCAGAAATGGGCTCTACTATTTGCAGCACTGTGGAACTGGCCTCCTTCAATTCTGTCTCTAAGGGCTTCATGGGAGAGTGAGTCGTTGTGCTCCTGAATGTTATGAGGGGCATCTGTTAGTGTTATTATTCTTTTTCAAAGGGAGTCAGTGGCAGCCCTATGAATAGTATAAAATGACTCTGAATTCAAATTGAACTAATAATGGGAGTGGGCCAGTGGGTTTGACGGTTTCACTTTTATTAAATCACCAAATGAAGTAAATTATAGCAAATCTGTGTTAGTCCTCTTCTTGAGTGCTCTTTGCGTCCAGGTGTGGGCTTCGTGGAGGCTACATGGAGCTGGTGAATCTCGACCCTGCGGTGAAGGAATACGCTAGTAGACTTTTTTCAACTAGGTCCTGCCCGCCTGTTGTTGGACAAATTGCACTTGACCTCATGGCAGGTCCTCCAAAACCTGGTGATCCTTCATTCCCCACCTTCTCTGAGGTTGGTGTGCTCCATATTAGCACTTAAAGTGCCCCATTATGCTATTTAAAAACCTCCTACAATAGGTTCACGTGCATCCAAAGTAAAAAAAAAACTTTAATTTTCTTATACATTACAGCATTATCTTTTTTCTCACAGTCTCTAGAAGGGTTGAAATTATGAGTCAAAATAGTGACATTGTCAACTATGTTACCTGTCAGCCAATACTGTTTGTCTGTAACATAGCTGACAAACTCACCAGGGAAACTATCTTTTTCTTTGTAATATCAAATTATCGTTCAATGATTAAGCTTATGATTAAGCTCACTGATAAATATATCAACTAAAACCAATAGTTGTTTTATTGAGAAAGCAGATTGTTTTTCACTTTCTTCCTGTGTGAAATGTACCCAAAGTTCTAGAATATACAATCAAACACACTTCACCAAGGTGTTCATTAGAAAATTACAGACAGATGTGATGATGCAGGGTTGGAACTGAACTCTGTAAGAAGGTAGCTCTGGCATTCTCTGTTTTAAAGACTCACCAAATAGTCACATGCATTGGTTGACCAGATATAAAATAACTGATAAAAGTTTAAAAGGGCCAACATCAGTAAACAATAGTAGTCAAACTAATTATCAGTCTATCAAATTTTCTTGATTTTGAATTTGACTGAATGAATCTTTTCTATCAGGAGGTCCAGGCCATTAAAAATACGATATGTAAAAACACTGGTCGGATTCAGGAGGTCTTTGCTGAGCTGCCGGGGATCAGCTGCCAGCCACTGAAGGCCGGGTTTTTTGTCTTCCCCTGTCTACACTTCTCTCTGAAGGCAATACAATGGGCCAAGGTGAGAATCAGTGTATTTCACCAATTTGTAAGTGACTGAATTAAAAGTACTGTTGTAATGCCAGAGCAGATATGCATGACCTCAAACTTATCAGGGACTCATAAAAATCTGAAATGCATGCTCAGTGTTGTGCAGATCTTATAAGAAGCTACAGAAACATTTGGTGGAGGTTGTTGCTGCTAAAGGAGGATCTACTACAGGATCTGCTCATTCCTGTTTGTAATTATCAAGTGTTCATGAAAATCAGGTGTATTTGATTGGGGTTGGAGCTAAACTTTGATGGAAGGCAGATTTTCAAGAACAGGATTGTGCAACTGGATACTAACTTCAAGGGTTCAATTACTTTTTCCAGTGAATGATTGCTGAATGTATTTGATTACAATTTTGGAAAAGTACAACTGTTTTCATGTTATTAGTTTAGTCAGATTGTGTTTGTCTAGAATTGTGACCAATATCATTTAACATTATTGGAATACTCAACGCAGAAATCCAGGTAATTCCAAACTGTACATTCATTTTGATGACACTGAGAGAAGCAAACATAGAAATAGTTTATAAACGCATTCTAGGACTGTGTCTGGAACTGATATTTTACAGAGTAACCAGAGGCGGACTTATTGATTGGAGGGCCAAATAATTTTGTCTAGTGACGTGGCCATGAAGAATGGTAAATGTTTGCCTCTACTGGTAAATAATGGTATTACACTATTATACAAAGAAATAAAACAGTGCCTTCTCCATTGAAGGCCAATAAAAAGTAGTATATTTACACAAAATGTGTGCCATCATCCAGTCAGCATTGCAATCTATTTACATGTCTTCATTTAACAAATGCCTTTATCGGAAGCAAGGAACATCCCACGTAATTTGTAATTTTCCTGAGCTGTGAAGGCATAACTGTCTCGATACACATGATCTGTGATCAGTTGCACTGTCTTCAGTCCAGCCATAAATTCTGAATACCTCAGCAGCGAACAAATGCATTAATCGGACTGTAGTTCCCATGTTTTCTTTTAAAGTTGTTTTCTCTTCATAGAAAAGACAGATGGAACCAGACATGCTGTACTGTTTGCGTTTGCTGGAGGAAACCGGTCTGCATGTGAGGCCGGGCTGTGAATACGGACAGAGAAAGGACAGCCATCACATCAGGTTTGTGCACTGCCACTGTTGTGAGTTACTGCATGTATGTGAATGGTAGCCTCACACAAAACACTCTAAATGTGAATTTGTCAATTACAGTCAGTTAGTCTTTCCACAGTAGCCATTCAAATAAACCAAACATTGCATCTCCCATTGATTCCCTGTGAAAACCAGTTCTTATTGTTTCTCAGGCTTTTTGTGGCAACTCAAGAGAATATAATGGAAGATGCTCTGCAAAGACTGAAGACGTTCCACACGCCATTCATGAAGGAGTTTTCTTAGTGTCATCTTCAGATTATCAGATCTGTTTAACCCTTGAATGCATGAATGTTTCACCAATCAGCAACTCAAAATATATATCTAAACTGACCCAATGGTATACAACTGTTCTGATATTTTAATAACAATTGCAAAGTGGAAAAATAAAGCATGTTTCATTATGTTATTTTGAGCAACTGGTTATTTTCAGCATCTGGCTCTTATTGGGGATCTGAACCTTTCAATACATTATTCTCAAAACATTTTCGCTCATGTCACAGATTTGCTGTAATCTACTGTACATGTATTTCAGTGCGAGTAAATTGTTAAATTGTACACATTTTCAGTGCTTCCAGTTATTTCACCTGTACAAAAACTGCCAATTATGCTTCTCGATATTGCAAACTGGTATTTGCTATCGTACTAATTTAATGCATTATCATAATCATAAACACTGGTTTGTAGCACAAATAATTTTACTGTTAACTGTACTTTGTTATTCTTTGTTCTCGCATAGTCAAAGAAAAAAAGCTGGATTGTACAGACAGCAGCTGAAATATTCTTCAGATATCTTCTTATACGACATAAGGGTGAAGAAAGGCTGACGATTTTCATATTTCACTCTTAAAAATAAAGGATGCCATAGAAGACCCTTTTTGTCTAAATGGTTCCATAAAGAACTTTTAACATCTGAAGAACCTTTCTGTTTCACAAAAGCTTCTTTGTGGCGAAAGAAGGTTCTTCAGATTACAAAAAGGTAAGAAAGAGATGGTTCTTTGACTGAATGCTTCTTTGTGGAACCAAAAATGGTTCTTCTATGGCATCGCTGTGAAGAACCTTTAAAACACTTTTATTTTAAAGAGTGTTGGGTGAATTATGCCTTTGAATGTCATGCACAACAGCACAAACTATTTTTATTTGTAGCAATAGCCAACAATACATTGTATGGGTCAAAATTATCCTTTTTTTTATGCCAAAAATCATTAGGATATGAAGTAAAGATCATGTTCCATGAAGATATTTTGTTAATGTCCTACCGTAAGTATATCAAAACTTAATTTTTGATTAGTAATATGCATTTCTAAGAACTTCATTTGGACAACTTTAAAGATGATTTTCTCAATATTTAGATTTTTTTGCACCCTCAAATAGTTGTATCTCAGCCAAATATTGTCCGATCCTAACAAACCATACATCAATGGAGAGCTTATTTATTCCACTTTCAGATGATGCATAAATCTCAATTTTGAAAAACTGACCCTTATGACTGGTTTTGTGCTCCAGGGTCACATATAAACAAATAAGAGAGAAAATATATAATAAATAAATAAAAAGGCATAGCTCACTTATTCAATTTTAACGAATAAGGATATTATAAAGTACCAGGGGGATTGAAGATTGTATCATAGTATTTTAAACATTTCACAGACTTTTTGTTTTTTAACAGTCTTATTGAAGAAATATAAAAGTCCAAGTCAGAACAAAACAAATGTAACATAGGAGATGAATTAAGAAATGTTTCTTTATGTATGTGAAATTTTGCTAATAAAATAAAAAGGTTCTAGATTCTTGCTTTTGTTTTCATAATACAAGATAACATCCTTATTCATTAAATTAAATATAAAATCTGTCAAATCAATCCAAAACGTGTTTACGACTTTACAGTCAAAAAATTACAAAAACAGCATATATCATCAATATCAGTGAATCTCGATGTTAAAGATTTAGAAGAGTAAATGGTAAGTAGAATTTTGAAATGCATTTCTTTTATTTTATTATTAATAGAATATGTAAAAGGAATCAGCCAAGCTCTTCTCCAGTCAATATTCTCAATTATAGAGTTCCACAAAATTTCCCTCTAGAATATATTTTCTTTTGTTTTTGGAAAATATTACAAATATGTTTGTTATTGCACTTTTTCTCAGTTAGCTCAACGCCTTCTAACATTATTATTATGTAATACATATTGTGATTGCAAACGTGTCAATAAAGAGACTTTTATTTTATTCACGATTACATTTAAAACACAGTATTGAAAATCAAATCACATATTTAAATAAACTCTTATTAAGCATCGGGAAAAATATGATTTTTGTATTATTTTGCATAAGCCTAAGGGATGAAATCAGAGATTTTAACTGAAGAGGAAATAATGGAATTTGTTTCTGCGAGAGAGACTTTTATTTTTGCGTCATGACGTCACACGGAGAGTGACGCAGGCAGCTGTGCGTCAGCGGAGGACAGGTTTGTGGTTTACAGCGCTTCAGTGTTTAGTGTGTTTAAAGCGATACGAAACGTTAAAGTTGCTTAGAAGTTCTGCTGTTATCAACACGGGAATATTACTGAAGCCATTGTGCATTAGTAATGTGAAGTGAATGCAGATTATTACAGAATGCAGTGCTGTAACGGTTCGAGGCCTGCTCACATTAAGAGTGAAGCAAGAACGTACAGAATAAGAATGATAAATATATTTATTCTCAATCTGCATTGCTCCATTTATTACTGAAGCTGCATTTTTTTTTCGATCAGTAGCCTTTATAGGCCTTCAGAATCAGAGCTTTATAGCCAGGTATGTTCACACATACGACGAATTTGTTTTGATGGCAGAAACAGAATGACAGTGACCAGACACAGATAATAAAAAGAATAAAAGGAAATAACAAAAATATTTAAAAAAAACACAATATACAAAATAGACAATAGATGGTATTGGTGTGTACAGGTATCTCCTACAATAGGTTCACGTGCATCCAAAGTAAAAAAAAAACTTTAATTTTCTTATACATTACAGCATTATCTTTTTTCTCACAGTCTCTAGAAGGGTTGAAATTATGAGTCAAAATAGTGACATTGTCAACTATGTTACCTGTCAGCCAATACTGTTTGTCTGTAACATAGCTGACAAACTCACCAGGGAAACTATCTTTTTCTTTGTAATATCAAATTATTGTTCAATGATTAAGCTTATGATTAAGCTCACTGATAAATATATCAACTAAAACCAATAGTTGTTTTATTGAGAAAGCAGATTGTTTTTCACTTTCTTCCTGTGTGAAATGTACCCAAAGTTCTAGAATATACAATCAAACACACTTCACCAAGGTGTTCATTAGAAAATTACAGACAGATGTGATGATGCAGGGTTGGAACTGAACTCTGTAAGAAGGTAGCTCTGGCATTCTCTGTTTTAAAGACTCACCAAATAGTCACATGCATTGGTTGACCAGATATAAAATAACTGATAAAAGTTTAAAAGGGCCAACATCAGTAAACAATAGTAGTCAAACTAATTATCAGTCTATCAAATTTTCTTGATTTTGAATTTGACTGAATGAATCTTTTCTATCAGGAGGTCCAGGCCATTAAAAATACGATATGTAAAAACACTGGTCGGATTCAGGAGGTCTTTGCTGAGCTGCCGGGGATCAGCTGCCAGCCACTGAAGGCCGGGTTTTTTGTCTTCCCCTGTCTACACTTCTCTCTGAAGGCAATACAATGGGCCAAGGTGAGAATCAGTGTATTTCACCAATTTGTAAGTGACTGAATTAAAAGTACTGTTGTAATGCCAGAGCAGATATGCATGACCTCAAACTTATCAGGGACTCATAAAAATCTGAAATGCATGCTCAGTGTTGTGCAGATCTTATAAGAAGCTACAGAAACATTTGGTGGAGGTTGTTGCTGCTAAAGGAGGATCTACTACAGGATCTGCTCATTCCTGTTTGTAATTATCAAGTGTTCATGAAAATCAGGTGTATTTGATTGGGGTTGGAGCTAAACTTTGATGGAAGGCAGATTTTCAAGAACAGGATTGTGCAACTGGATACTAACTTCAAGGGTTCAATTACTTTTTCCAGTGAATGATTGCTGAATGTATTTGATTACAATTTTGGAAAAGTACAACTGTTTTCATGTTATTAGTTTAGTCAGATTGTGTTTGTCTAGAATTGTGACCAATATCATTTAACATTATTGGAATACTCAACGCAGAAATCCAGGTAATTCCAAACTGTACATTCATTTTGATGACACTGAGAGAAGCAAACATAGAAATAGTTTATAAACGCATTCTAGGACTGTGTCTGGAACTGATATTTTACAGAGTAACCAGAGGCGGACTTATTGATTGGAGGGCCAAATAATTTTGTCTAGTGACGTGGCCATGAAGAATGGTAAATGTTTGCCTCTACTGGTAAATAATGGTATTACACTATTATACAAAGAAATAAAACAGTGCCTTCTCCATTGAAGGCCAATAAAAAGTAGTATATTTACACAAAATGTGTGCCATCATCCAGTCAGCATTGCAATCTATTTACATGTCTTCATTTAACAAATGCCTTTATCGGAAGCAAGGAACATCCCACGTAATTTGTAATTTTCCTGAGCTGTGAAGGCATAACTGTCTCGATACACATGATCTGTGATCAGTTGCACTGTCTTCAGTCCAGCCATAAATTCTGAATACCTCAGCAGCGAACAAATGCATTAATCGGACTGTAGTTCCCATGTTTTCTTTTAAAGTTGTTTTCTCTTCATAGAAAAGACAGATGGAACCAGACATGCTGTACTGTTTGCGTTTGCTGGAGGAAACCGGTCTGCATGTGAGGCCGGGCTGTGAATACGGACAGAGAAAGGACAGCCATCACATCAGGTTTGTGCACTGCCACTGTTGTGAGTTACTGCATGTATGTGAATGGTAGCCTCACACAAAACACTCTAAATGTGAATTTGTCAATTACAGTCAGTTAGTCTTTCCACAGTAGCCATTCAAATAAACCAAACATTGCATCTCCCATTGATTCCCTGTGAAAACCAGTTCTTATTGTTTCTCAGGCTTTTTGTGGCAACTCAAGAGAATATAATGGAAGATGCTCTGCAAAGACTGAAGACGTTCCACACGCCATTCATGAAGGAGTTTTCTTAGTGTCATCTTCAGATTATCAGATCTGTTTAACCCTTGAATGCATGAATGTTTCACCAATCAGCAACTCAAAATATATATCTAAACTGACCCAATGGTATACAACTGTTCTGATATTTTAATAACAATTGCAAAGTGGAAAAATAAAGCATGTTTCATTATGTTATTTTGAGCAACTGGTTATTTTCAGCATCTGGCTCTTATTGGGGATCTGAACCTTTCAATACATTATTCTCAAAACATTTTCGCTCATGTCACAGATTTGCTGTAATCTACTGTACATGTATTTCAGTGCGAGTAAATTGTTAAATTGTACACATTTTCAGTGCTTCCAGTTATTTCACCTGTACAAAAACTGCCAATTATGCTTCTCGATATTGCAAACTGGTATTTGCTATCGTACTAATTTAATGCATTATCATAATCATAAACACTGGTTTGTAGCACAAATAATTTTACTGTTAACTGTACTTTGTTATTCTTTGTTCTCGCATAGTCAAAGAAAAAAAGCTGGATTGTACAGACAGCAGCTGAAATATTCTTCAGATATCTTCTTATACGACATAAGGGTGAAGAAAGGCTGACGATTTTCATATTTCACTCTTAAAAATAAAGGATGCCATAGAAGACCCTTTTTGTCTAAATGGTTCCATAAAGAACTTTTAACATCTGAAGAACCTTTCTGTTTCACAAAAGCTTCTTTGTGGCGAAAGAAGGTTCTTCAGATTACAAAAAGGTAAGAAAGAGATGGTTCTTTGACTGAATGCTTCTTTGTGGAACCAAAAATGGTTCTTCTATGGCATCGCTGTGAAGAACCTTTAAAACACTTTTATTTTAAAGAGTGTTGGGTGAATTATGCCTTTGAATGTCATGCACAACAGCACAAACTATTTTTATTTGTAGCAATAGCCAACAATACATTGTATGGGTCAAAATTATCCTTTTTTTTATGCCAAAAATCATTAGGATATGAAGTAAAGATCATGTTCCATGAAGATATTTTGTTAATGTCCTACCGTAAGTATATCAAAACTTAATTTTTGATTAGTAATATGCATTTCTAAGAACTTCATTTGGACAACTTTAAAGATGATTTTCTCAATATTTAGATTTTTTTGCACCCTCAAATAGTTGTATCTCAGCCAAATATTGTCCGATCCTAACAAACCATACATCAATGGAGAGCTTATTTATTCCACTTTCAGATGATGCATAAATCTCAATTTTGAAAAACTGACCCTTATGACTGGTTTTGTGCTCCAGGGTCACATATAAACAAATAAGAGAGAAAATATATAATAAATAAATAAAAAGGCATAGCTCACTTATTCAATTTTAACGAATAAGGATATTATAAAGTACCAGGGGGATTGAAGATTGTATCATAGTATTTTAAACATTTCACAGACTTTTTGTTTTTTAACAGTCTTATTGAAGAAATATAAAAGTCCAAGTCAGAACAAAACAAATGTAACATAGGAGATGAATTAAGAAATGTTTCTTTATGTATGTGAAATTTTGCTAATAAAATAAAAAGGTTCTAGATTCTTGCTTTTGTTTTCATAATACAAGATAACATCCTTATTCATTAAATTAAATATAAAATCTGTCAAATCAATCCAAAACGTGTTTACGACTTTACAGTCAAAAAATTACAAAAACAGCATATATCATCAATATCAGTGAATCTCGATGTTAAAGATTTAGAAGAGTAAATGGTAAGTAGAATTTTGAAATGCATTTCTTTTATTTTATTATTAATAGAATATGTAAAAGGAATCAGCCAAGCTCTTCTCCAGTCAATATTCTCAATTATAGAGTTCCACAAAATTTCCCTCTAGAATATATTTTCTTTTGTTTTTGGAAAATATTACAAATATGTTTGTTATTGCACTTTTTCTCAGTTAGCTCAACGCCTTCTAACATTATTATTATGTAATACATATTGTGATTGCAAACGTGTCAATAAAGAGACTTTTATTTTATTCACGATTACATTTAAAACACAGTATTGAAAATCAAATCACATATTTAAATAAACTCTTATTAAGCATCGGGAAAAATATGATTTTTGTATTATTTTGCATAAGCCTAAGGGATGAAATCAGAGATTTTAACTGAAGAGGAAATAATGGAATTTGTTTCTGCGAGAGAGACTTTTATTTTTGCGTCATGACGTCACACGGAGAGTGACGCAGGCAGCTGTGCGTCAGCGGAGGACAGGTTTGTGGTTTACAGCGCTTCAGTGTTTAGTGTGTTTAAAGCGATACGAAACGTTAAAGTTGCTTAGAAGTTCTGCTGTTATCAACACGGGAATATTACTGAAGCCATTGTGCATTAGTAATGTGAAGTGAATGCAGATTATTACAGAATGCAGTGCTGTAACGGTTCGAGGCCTGCTCACATTAAGAGTGAAGCAAGAACGTACAGAATAAGAATGATAAATATATTTATTCTCAATCTGCATTGCTCCATTTATTACTGAAGCTGCATTTTTTTTTCGATCAGTAGCCTTTATAGTCCTTCAGAATCAGAGCTTTATAGCCAGGTATGTTCACACATACGACGAATTTGTTTTGATGACAGAAACAGAATGACAGTGACCAGACACAGATAATAAAAAGAATAAAAGGAAATAACAAAAATATTTAAAAAAAACACAATATACAAAATAGACAATAGATGGTATTGGTGTGTACAGGTATGTTATGGATAAATGCAAGAAATGTAAATAAGGTGTGTGTGTGTGTGTGT